TGCCCCACTGGCAGAAGAGGACTCGGTGTTTCCATCTATGAACTGGCCAGGGCAGCATCATTTCCATCATACGGCATTCATCAAGATGGTCACATACCCCACCTCCAGGTTCCATGAAAGAGGCATAGATCCCATAGCCTGACAGACGGATGGTAGGTCGCACCATAAAGGAACACGTGAAAAGGGAGATACAGAGTGGTTTTCTTTATCTGAAGCTACTCTCTACCTTTGGTACTGTGTACAGTCGAACCAAGTCATCCTTCGTTTTTCCACCTCAAGGCTCCATCTATGATGAGTGTATGTTAGAAAGCTTGACCCTACCATGATGTCGCCTTGGCAGCTTCCCTTGGGGACCCTTAAGCATGCTCTCCAGGGAAGGTACAGGGGAACTATGAAAGCATGCTCCATGTGGCCTCCCTTCCGTGCTACAACCCTGCTGGCACGAGCTGTGTTGCTTTGTAAGTTCATCTGGCACTTCCTCCACAACTCCAGCCTTCAACAGTTTCTATACCCCATTCCTTTCCAGCAGAGCAATGCTAATGGCTTTTTGATGCTATCGGATTTTAAGTGCTTCATTGGACTTTGCTTGTTCCTTAATATAAACCATAAGTTCTATAAATAATTCCTGCATTAATATTGCACCTAAAGTATTAAAAAAATTCTGATTTTTATCAGGGTAATGACTGATAGAGCATCTAACACAAAACAAAGACTGGGAATATATGTATACATATATATATATATGTATACATATATATGTATTATGTAGGTAGGTAGGTATTTCAAGTATCTTCTAAATATTTGATAGACTTGCTGGCTAGTATAGCACGACTTCTGTCACTGCTGTGGTTTTAATATGGTCCGAGGACCTTCCTTCAGTGTGTGCTTTCACAGAACCCATAGAAGGTTGGATCTACTGACAGAGCCTTAGGTTTAAAGGAATACTCATGGGACCCTGACTCGGTTCTTTCAAGAGGGTCTTAAACAGAAAACAAGACTGGGGCCTCTCCTGGTCCCTCTGGCTTCCTGTCTGATAATGTGATAGTTCCCTCCTTCCGCTGTAATTCACCCATATGATGTCATTCACAGGAGGCCTTCTCCACAGCTGAGCTGATAACCAAAGCATGGCCCTCAGCCTGTAGTATCCTGTGGCAGGGAAACTCTTATTCATAAAGTGATTTGGCCTTAAAAATTCTATAATCGTAATGAAAAGGTTGACTATCTAAATGTATAACCTATCATCTTTCAGAAATAACTTCTAGAAGAATGTGCATTCCTTCAAACTCAAACTTAAAAATAAACATGTCTGTTACTAAACTTCTGTTTCATCATAAATAATCTTAACATTTCCATATTTACATGAGACATAGACTTCTTCTACTAATCATCTCTTTCTTTCCAAAATTTATAAACAAAACACAAAATGATCCATTCCACAACCTTGCTAAAGACTGATGAAAACAAGTCTTCTCCTGATCCTTATCTTTTAGAATCACTTTACGGTCCATCTTTAAAGACTTAATTTATTTTTAATCCATATGAATACAGGTGTGTCTGTGCATGTGTAGATGCAGAAGTGTGCAGGAAGCCAGGATCTCCAGGAGTTACAGGTGGCTGTGAGCTGCCCCACTTGGGTGCTAGGAACTGACCTTAGATCCTCTGCAAGAGCACCAAGCACTCTTAACCACTCTTTGGCTATGGACTATTATTCTTTAAAAAACACTTTTTAATTAATTGCATTTGGAGCTACAAGTTACACTTCTCAAAAATAACTAGATGTGATAGTGTATAATAAAAATATGAGCAGTTTATGTATATTATAACTTTCAGAAACTTTTTAGAGGTGAATTTCCCCCATAAAAGAAGACTTCAAACTGGCATGGTAAAGTGCTTGCCACACTCCATGAGCAACTAGAATTTTGATCCCCAGAACCAAAGGGGCAGGGTTGAATGGGCCATGGCCTGCCTGTTAACTCCAACATGGGAGACAGAGAAAGGGACTCACTGAAGGAAGCTGAGTATCCAGATGCCAGTTCTGGGCTCTGTAAGTGACCCTGTTTCAACTCACATGGTGGAACATGAAGAAGAAATACATCTGATGTCAACCTCAGGTCCCCATGTACACATACACATATGAACATGAATGTACAGACAACACACACATCTAACACAGGTCTATCTATGCAAAGGAAAGAGAATTGGCCTCTTATCTTGTTAATATTTCTCTTTCATCTCCTTGTGGGCAAGTTCTAAGGCAATTTTTACATGATTGCTGTCATTTGCATCCTTCTTCCCTTTTTCCTTTATTTCCTTGTGCTGTTGTTTATGTTCTCTGATCTCTTTCCAAAAAAAAAAAAAAATAGTAGTTACTTTTTAAAATCAATACGTGCTGCATTTCCCATGTTTTTTTTTTTTTTTTCCTAACAGGGGATCAATTACTCCTTGGTGAGTTTTTGAAAACTCAATAGGCCCCACTTTGATTTTTTTTTTTCTGTTCCTCCTGGTTTATGTTGCCACTTAGTGTTTTTCCTATCTTGCCATCTACGCTTCAAGACTGTGAGGGAAAGAAAGAGATATTGAATGTTTTTCCTAAAAGGAGAAAAAAAAACCATGCCTTTTCTGGGAGAAAACGTTTTAGTCAGTCAAAGTTCTTATTCTTTGGGTTGACTCTAGAAGAGACATATATTCACAAACAATCTAAGGAGAAAAGGTGACTCTAATTGTGAATATCGCCAGTCTTACAGTAGTAAGGGGCACTGAGAGTTGGCTTCACAAGTACTGGGCAGACCCCATAGTGGAGTAGGCTAAACAGTAGCAGAGCTCCAGAGAGAAAGGCTGGCGAGGAACATTGCCAAGAATGGGTCCAGTGGAATCTTTCATGATTATGCTTGTCCAATTGTGGTTAATGGTTGAAAGTTTTAACCCCTTGGAATAAGCATGGGAGTAGAGTAACCAAATGCTTTTTCAGCATGGTAATTTCTTTAGACTTTAACCAGTATTGCACACTTTTCACCTTCTAAGGCATAGTTCTTACCTTTCTCTAAGCAGCAAGTACATGAAGTTACGAAGCAGCAAGTAGGGCTTGGTACACGTGTACAAGTCTGAAACAATTCTTCTTGGTTTTTCAAGACAGTGTTTCTCCGTAGCTTTGGAGCCTGTCCTAGAACTAGCTCTAGTAGACAAGGCTGGCCTTGAACTCACAGAGATTGCAGGAATGCTTCCTGAGAGCTGGGATTAAAGGCATGTGCCACCACCTTTGGAAACTCATCTTTTTAAAAGAATACAAAACCAGAAGGACAGTATTACGAGAAGAGGAGTGTATGACTCCCAGCAATAACCTCTACAACGAAATCTGGCAAATGACTAGAATCTTGGGGGTGGCCTTGTTCTGAAACTGCTTAAGGCCCATTCATAGGCAACCTGGCATTTCCTTCTCACCAGGAACATCTATGACTCCAGCAATCCCAAACATTCCACAGACCCAAGCAATTGAACAGCTCCTCGATCTCAGACTATCTCAGAGTCATCTTGGACCCCAGGAATTCACTGAGACATGGGTTCTCCAGGGAGGCCTAAGGGACAGAATTTAAGAGAAGAGGCTACCTGGAAAGTTTACAGCAATTCCAGATTTTGATATATATCCTCCAATCCCAACACTTCTCCCTCAATTCTGTAAGTTCCACACTAATCTGAACATGAAGTATGTGGGTAATGGGGAGAGGAAGTATTGAGTCACTGAATGGCTCAGTAGAGAGAGTGGCTTGCTGCAGGGCCTGGTGCACATGATAGAAGGAGAGGGCAGAATGCAAGCAGTGCTCTGATCGTCACCTGTGCACCAGGGCACAAGCACACACACACACTAAAACACACACACGCACGCACGAGCACGCACACGTGCACACACAGACAAATAAATAAAAATTAAAATAAAATTTTAAAGCAGTGTTGAAACTAACCATGAATCAATTCTACTTTTATAGTTAAATAAAAAGAAAAGCCGAGTACAAAGAACCGTGATACGACGCCCACGGAGAAGACAACTGGGTGAACCACTCTGTAGGCTCTAAAGGGTGCAAAATGAAGTTTGTGAGTTCAGCACTGGAGTCCAAGTACACTGGTTAAGCACTGACTTCTGTTTGCCGGTTGTTAAGCAGGGGGGGGGGGGCATTTTAACATCTCAAGGTAAGGTGTCACTACGTCGCAGACGCTGCAGTCACTGAGAACAATATTCCTACTGAGTTCAAGTCTTCCCCCTTCAGGGCACCCCTGAGAAACTGCTGCCATACTGGATTGCGCCACAGGAAAGGTATTTTTGTTTGGAACTTTCAGAAAGTGCAAGTTTCAGGCCACAGGCAATCAAGTCAACCACTAATGCCCATTAAGTTCCTTTTTGTTCAATTATAACACTACCCAGAAAGCGCCTCTGAGGCTAGATTTCCAAGCAAATGGGAAGGAAATATGCAGACTGCATCTGGGGTTTGGACCAGAGTTAACTGCACCACTCCTCCACACCCCCAATAAAATTCTTCAGCTCCGCCTGTAGTGAAGGCCAGGCTTTCTCCTGTGAAAGGATTTCCACACCTAATGGTCACAGGATTCCAGACTCTCTTAGGGTGTGACCCTACTTTCCCATTCCTGCGTAACTACAGTAAACCAAAAATCACTTTCCTTCAGTAAAGAAATGCTCTCCCAGACTCCAGGATTATCAAGAAGCCTGGAGGAGGAGCAGTTTCGGGCCACACGCCCATGCATGATGTGGGATGCCTCTGTCAAGGAAGGAAAACTGGGAAGAGTGAGGGGGTAAAACAAATCAGAACTTTTGAGACTCCATAAGCCTTTGCCATGCCTCTGAGAAGGTCAAAGTGCGGAGAAGGGAGTGGCTGGTTGAGGCTGGGTGTACTGTCTCCAGCTCCGGATCCAACACGGAGTTGAGTCACCCAGGAACTTTCCCTGGAAGCGCTGCTCCCGCCACAGCCGCGGCTTACGTCCCCTGCTCTCACCTTACTGAACACCTCCAAGTCGTCCTCATCCTCGTCCAGATCCAGCACGTCGGCCTGCAGCAGGCTGCAGGACCCACTGCCACCCGGGATCGGGGCGCCGCCCCGCGGGCTCTCACCGACCGCCAGCTCCGAGGAACCCGACGCCAGGCGCTCGCCGTCCATCCCGGCAGTGCGAGCCCGGCCGGCCGCCGCAGCCAGCCCGACTCCCCCCCTGCGCGCCCATTGGCTCCCGTGGCGCCCTGCACCTCCCCGGCCGGCCCAGCTCCTGCCCCTCGGCCGTGCGCAGACGCGGAACTGCGGGTTACCGTGGCGCAAAGCCAGGGCGGGCAGCCGCTTAACAGACCTGGCCCCAGGTCGCTCCCAGGCTTGAGATTCCAAATCTAGGAAGCCCCACAGGAGTGGGCATTGCAGTCCCGAGGACAGGAGGTTACGTTGTCGCTCTGATACAGCTAAGGGCCACCAGATTTGTGAGTGAGGTGGCAGGATCTGGACGCACAACGAACTGACCCAGGTTTATTTCCAGTACCTAAAAGTGCCTTTTTCCTGGGTTGTGATTTTTTTCCCCCTTCCGAGTCTGTCTTTATAGAGACTAATGCAAAAATTAAAGACACTAGAACCCCCTGGGTTTTGATTGATTTTTTTTTGACCCAGTGGTTGGACCTTGTGGTTATTTTACTGTCAAGTCAAGGAAACTGAGACTGAAAAATTATTTTCAGTTACTTTCAAATGTAGCTTTCTCCTAGAAGTCTTCCTGAAGTTAATGTGCAAGAATGTTTCCAAGAGCCAAGGACTGCCTGCCAGCAAGCCTGGGTATTGCAAGGAGAAACAATCTTGCATGCTTTTCCTAACAGTCCCTGCAAAGCTGAAACTAGCTTTTTGTTCATTGCTTTTCAGTACTTATTTTTATAGATCCAAACTGAATGAAAAAATTGAATGCAAATTGATATACGCTAGAACTAGCTTTAATTTTTTTATTTGTACTTCTCAGTCTCACCTTTTTTCTTCTTTCTTTAAAATGTGTTGAGTGAATGAAGGTTCATTTAAGAGTCGGACACGGTGGTGTATGCCTGGGGTTTTAGCAAGGGTAGGCTGAGGCGAGAAGACCTCCAGCTTGAGGTCAGCTGATTTTAGCACAGGGAAACAAACCCAGGTTGGAAAATACAAATAGAAAAATAGGAAGGAGCAACATAGATAAAAGGAATTTAAATATCTTTTTATTTCTGATGATGAGACAATTCCTCAATATATTCTCTTTTGACTATTTGAGGACCTCCTGCTTGTTTCATGATATGCCCAAGTATCTTTCAGCTCAGTCACTGACCATTTAAATGCACAAATTGGATTCTGGACCTTATGGTTTCTGTCCCCCAGATACTCTGTTTTACCCCAGAGATGTCTAGGGTCTCATCAATTTCAGTAAGACTTGGAAAGTGCCTGTCTGGTTCCAATTTCTTCTTGGTATTTTCATACAGATTGTGTGTGTATTTCACACACGTGTTTTGTATTCCTTAGGAACTGAACGCTAAGATTTTAAGTTGAGAATCGTGGAATAATTAATAAAGCACATTACCAGGAACACTGATTCGAAATGACTCTTTACTGAGCTCCACAAAGAATGCAAGTTATTAAAAAAATGTTTCCTTCTATAATCTCACTGTGGCTATGGAGGGACATCTGAGGTCTACAATTTGCAAACTTTGAACCAGGAAACTCTATTTGTTTGTTTGTTTGTTTTTTGAGATAGGGTTTCTTCGTAGTCTTGGCAGTCCTTCACTACGGAGGCCAGGATGGCCTTGAATTCGGATCTCTGCCTAGGGAGTACTGGGAATTAAGGCGAGTTCCAACTCTGGCCAGCTTGAACCAGGAAACTCTGTTTGTTTGTTTGTTTCTTTGTTTGTTTGTTTGTTTTTGTGACAGGGTTTCTCGGTGTGGCCTCGGCTGTCCTGGAGGAATTCACTCCTAAATGGCCTTGAACTCAGGTCTGCAGTCTCTGCCTCCAGAGAGCTGGGAATTAAGGCGTGTTCCAACACTGGCCAGCTTGAACCAGGAAACTCTTCTGTGCTGTGTGTCACTAAATTATCCAGAGAACTCAGAAAACAGGCTCAGGTCAGTTAGAACAATCAGCAGATAAACAGTTCAGAGCACAGCCTAAAATATGCCATGTTCTCGCTGTTGAGATGCCAAACCACCTTCACTTGTTGCTATGGACACTGACGTTCCTGACATCAGCACTGTGCTATTTTGGAGAACATCTCTACAATTGTAACAAATATGTCCCCACAGTTCTATCTCTTCCTGTCTCTTGTCGCTTTGCCCAATCACCAGGCATCATGAAGTTTCCCAAGGAAGAGAATTTTCTAGACCTAGAAAAAATCCTATTGATCCTTATCATCAAAGATGAAGAAGAGGACAGAAAAAGAAAATAAGAGAATTCTACTCTAATTCACCGTGTTCACCATCCAACAGCCAAACTACCTTTCTTCTTATACTTAACCCCATCTTAATGCAAAATACAAATACAAAAGTACCCAGGACTACAGTTGCCAGCCCTGAAAATGAGGAAAGCCTCGAAGTCTGTCCATTACGTACATCACTCTCTATCTGCTACATTTGACTCCTGAAAACTCTGCTTCCCATTAGAAATGACTAACGCAGGATTCTTTAATAGAAAGATTCTTACTTAGTACTAAAGCCTTTAAATTAAGAAGGTCCAAAACTTCAGTACATGGTACAGTAATGAAGGCACCGCCTCTGTCTTGTCCCTTTGTTTCCTGGACTATTAGCATGATTGATATCCTTTATAATAGGTTAATACCACTTGAAAGAGGGCAAAAGAGTAGATGTCCCAGGTAGGAGTAAATCTGAGAACACTGATGAAGGCCAACCCTCCTAGGAGGCAAAACGTCTAGCATGACATTTGGTTGTAGACTGCCTAGAAAGAGACAGGCCTAGAGATACAAATCTAGGTCAGTTCATGGCTAGTTGCAAATGTTTGGGTTGAATTGCCAAGGAATGGAAAGACACTTTGGTGAAAGATCTGAAGGAAGTATACAGATAGACTTTTCAGAATGACCATGGTCTAAGATGTTTTGGAATGTGAAACATCCCACAGGAGTGCATATTGCAAAGGTGACTCACACATGAGGCAGACAGAATCATGCCTTCCAGGGTAACTCTCCCATGACAGAGCTCATGCAAGATCATTAATATAGGCATTCCTTCACCAATGTTCACCTGCCTGAATCTACTGTTGCTATCTAATCTGCCAAAAACACAGACCAGTAATGACACCCCGCTGTGGGGCAATGGTCTTGTACCTCGTAAAGATTTGTCACTTGTATTGGTTTAATAACATGCTGACTGACCAATAGCCAAGCAGGAAGTATAGGCCGGGTGACCACAACAGGAGAATTCTGGGAAGAGGAAAGGCTCAGTCTGCAGTTGTCATCGGGACACAAAGGAAACATGATGAGAATGCCTCACTAATAAAAGGTACCAAGCCAGATGGCTAACACGGACAAGAATTATAGGTTAATGTAAGATGTAAGAGTTAGTTAATAAGAAAGCCTCAGTTATTAGGCCAACCAGTTTTTAATTAATGTAGGCCTCTGTATGTTTCTTTGGGACTGAATGGCTGCGGAACCAGGCAGGATAGAGCCTCTGTCAACGACATGCCCCTTGTAGCAACATGCTACCAAGCCAGGGACACAATTATGGGACATGAGGCAGCACCTTAATCTGGCATCAGGCTGATTATGTTGAATGTCTGTTCCTAAGGACTGGGTCAAGATTCATCTTGGCTAAAATGCACACATTCCAGGTATGGAAGTGCTGTCCTTGCCATTAATATTTCTGCCGACAGCACTGTGAATAAATAGTACAGAGAACTTCTTCAGCAGCCTCAATATAAGCATTGCATACACCATTGCATGTGACCAAGAAGCACATTTTACAGCATAGGAAGTCATCATGGGCTCACAAGAGAAGGAATCAGCTCATCATATATTCCATAGCCGGGACATTACACAGAACAAAATGTGGTCTGGCTTAGTGAAGAGTGGTCCTGGGCTGTGCAGGTTTCTAAGAAACTCAATATGTACCATTACATAAGGATACAGGGAGCTGACCTGACTTCATGTGGATTGAACACATAGACCCATGACAGACCAATGAGAGTGGGAGCGACATTTTCACAGTATCCCTCATCACACACTAATGTGTGTGTGTGTGTGTGTGTGTGTGTGTGTGTGTGTGTGTGTGTGTGTGTTTCTATTTTGGCTCCGGAGAAACCCAATATCATAACTATTGCTGTTGCTACTATTTGTGTTGGTTTGGTCACAAATCACTGGCCAGGACCGACCCCATGACGCTACTCAGTCAAAAGAAGGCCATGAGGTACAGCCTCACTATATGTTCAGTAGGCAGTGAGTCAAAAATGTTTTTAATAGCACAAATGACAGTTGTAACCTTTAAGCAGTTAATTCTAGGTGCTTAACATGAGGCAAAGACAAGCTAATACAGGGGCTATGACCTCAAGGCTGTGATTATTACCCAATTATCTGAAAGTACACAGTTCTTTACATGGGATTTCTTCCTGGCTTCGAGAACTCAGGCATACATTTCAAATTATTAACTTCAATTTTCTCACCAGCAAAGTTGGGGTAGTTAATAATAGATACTTCAAAGGTTATGAAGATCAAAGCAACTAATATACAGGAACTAAGTATCTATCTAAATCTTAATTGTTTTATTACTTTTACTGCTGGCGTTACTGACTTAAGTAATAGTATCAGGCTGCCACAGTTGCCCTATAATTGCATTTAGCGTCCTAAGCGATTCAGTTTTTACTAAAATATATGTTTATGTTTTCAAAAACGTTTTCCTTAGTATTATGGTACACTGGAAATTATAAGTGCTTTGTCATTTTTTTGAAACAAATAAAATTACTATGAAATAATAAACAAGTATGATTTTAAACATCTTTAACTTAGCAAAACTCAACAAGTATGGACTATGCTTGTAATTTCATAACCTAAGTAGCCTGCTACTGTCTTAACCCTGACACCAAATACAGAGTCTAGAAATGATCATCGGTCAGAACTTGAAGCAAATTTCTTACTTGACATGACAGAAAACACAGAGGGAGGGTGACTTCTAGACACAGTTGGTTATTGTTCAACAAATCTTACCCAATTACT